TACGATGTTTTTACTTAAGAAATTGATACTTTTATTCAGCAAGGATGCATTCAATTGATCAAAAGTGACAGCAAAGATACTTTTACATTGTTACAAAAAAATCTGTTTAAAACTTTCTATTCATCAAAAAAGATGAACCATGAAAACATGAATCATGGTTTCCAGAAAAATATTAAGCAGCAGTAGTTTCTTGAGCAGCAAATCAGCATGATTTTTGAAGGATCATGTGACACTTAAGACTGGAGTAATGATGCTGAAGCTTTCTATCACAGGAATAAATAAAAAAAATTTTTTATAAATTTTTTTTTTAAATTATAATATTTTACTACAGAACTCTTTTGATCAAATAAATGCAGCATTGGTGAATCTAAAATATACATATACATAAACATGATTTTTGTTTCTTTAATAGTCAATAGTCTCCTAAAATTACATTTAAGACATGTAATTAATAAGAATGAATGAATTATTGCTTAGTACATCGGAACAAATATTTGTTTTATGCTTAATTTCAGGAGAAGTATGGAATTGAGCCCACTATGGTTGTTCACGGAGTGAAGATGCTGTATGTGCCTGTTATGCCGGGCCATAACAAAAGACTCAAACTGACGTAAGGCCCAACTGTAAAATAGCCTATTATTATAAAAATAATCTTGTAACCCTGTAAAAGCTTACATGTTTCAGCTTATGTGTCTAATTTTGTGCAACGACTATCAACAAATGCAATTAGAAAAATGATGCACGATGCTTTGTGGTTTTCTTATGCATTTCCATAACAATATCGCTATTTTCCTTTTCCTTGCAGAATGCATAAACTGATCAAACCTTCAGCAGGCAGGAAGTATGTTGACCTTACCGTATCATTTGCCCCTGAGGTGGATGGTGACGAAGATCTGCCCGGTCCCCCAGTGCGCTATTACTTCAGTCGAGAAACTGAGAGTGGCGAGACGGCCTAACACTCACACACACTCACTCAATCACACACACACTCACAAACTCTCCTCCCTTCTTGCTCTGTGGACCACAAGTGGAGTAGCACTTGATCTGACTCAATGTACATAGTGAATTTTTGTTTTCTACTGGTTTATTATTTTATTGCACAGCATAGTCTGTGCAGATGCCTTAAGATAATTATATTGTGCTTCAAAGTGACAATAATAATGGTTATAATATGAATGCTCTAAAGAGTAAAACAAAAAAAAAGAAAGTGTTTACACAACTTCCCCAGGGCTTATTATTCTATGTTAGTCTTTTAAACTAGGAGAGGACTCTGTAAAAAAATCAATAGAGGGCTTGTAAAAGAAGAACTTTCTTCATGAATCAGTTGTAATTTATTTGCACATGTTTTAGGAGGAGATTGAGGTTTAAGAAGTTGTCAGTCACTGTAAGCAACATAACACCAAAGATTTCACCTCTGGTTTAAAATGTTTATCTTTGGCATTCAGCGATGCTTCACAACTGGTTTCCCCTGAATGTGGCTGTCAGGTTCTTCATGATCATAACTTTTTGCAAAAACAGATGAGGTGAAGATAATTGCTTTTGATGCTACACCTACAATGCAAAATGCATTTTGTAGTGCCACTAGAGGGCGCTATAGTTTATAGTATCCTTGTACCCATTTGCAACAATCAACCGCTTCTACTTGAGGAACAAGGCTTAAAGGATGAGGCTCTACGTAATCGACACTGATACTCCAACCTGCATGTTGACATCCAAAATAGGCTTTTCCAAATTTCCTCGCTGCATTTACAGTCTTGTTGATGTCATTGACTCCTAAAGTGAATCCTAAAGTGTCCTTTAGGCAGTTGGCTGTTGCTTAGCACACATGTGATTGGCAGTAGTGATCAGAAATCACACTCGCTTAGACACAGCTGACTCAACACTCCACTTTGAGTTTCCAGTGGATATGTTCAAACGCACAAAGAACAGGAAAAACACGGACAATGTTTCTAGTTTGATCCCTTTAAATTAAACCTTCAGTTGCACCAAAATCCCTGCCATGATGTCCAGCCTTTCCAGTTTATAAGAAATTGAATTCTGATGATATCTAAAGGAGCTAAACCAGTGATTGGAAAATATGATGTCGTTGTGATTACAGTATTCAACAGAAAGTAAAATAAATCAAGTCAAAAAAAGTCTCTTTTTTATTCTGCTTTCATGTATTTTCCCAGCTCTTCTCAACTTAACTTGTGGTAGTGTGTGGAAAAAAATCTGAAAAGTAGCTTCATTTGATTTATGACCAGATCACTCTGAAGGTTTGTGATGGACCGAGTATATGGTACTCATAGTAATAATACTGTGATGTAATAAAACTTTCAAAATATAGTTTTTAGGGTCAGGAAGACATTACTTTTATTCAGCAATGAAGCATTTAATTGATCAAAAGTGAAGAAAGGTTAAAAGTAAAGACATTTATAATGTTACAAAAGATTTTTATTGCATCCAAATAATGTTCTTTTGAACTTTCTATTCTTTAAAATCCTGAAAAAAAAAAACATTTCACTCTTTCCATAAAAATGTTAAGCAGCACGAATGTTTGACAAAGCCAACTCAGCATATTGATTTCAGAAGAACTGAATTAATTGGCTGCTGAAAATTTAGCTTTGCTACATACAGGAAAAAATTACACTTTAAAGTATATTAAACTAGAAAACATATTTTAATTTGTAATATTTTTTCACAAAATTGCACTGCATTTTTGATCAAATCAATACCGCTGTGGTGAGCAAAAACATAAAAACTATCTTATTGACAGTAAACGTTTGAATGGTTGTGTATATTTAAAATAATAGTGTCTTTTATTGTGTTTCATGTGCACAAGTCATGAAACACTTCTATGGTACTTTGTGGCATAAAAGTAAGTCTGCATGCATGGAGGTTTGCGATTGACTCTGACATTTTGATTCACGCCTCTATTCTTTAGAATGCAAACAACTCTGCTCTGTCTCTGTTCTTAGCACGGGTGCTGCTTTAAGGCGTGGAGTTTGACCTCTGGGTCACTTGGGACAGCATGTCTGAGCGTGTGCTTTCAGGACATGTATGCCTTTTGTTGTTTCTGCAACTTCATGCAACCACAACCACACAAATAAATCTCTTACATTGGATGGGTTGAATCAATAAAAAATCCTTTACCTACCTATTCACTATAACACAACAACCAAGTAAGTTTAAATGTTTCACAAACTATATATAATTCTGAGTGTAAAAAAACACACACATACACATATAGTTCAGACAGAGGAGGAGGCCTCAGGAATTCAATTTACCCTGGAGTGTCAAATAAACTGCCTTCCACAGTCTGTCGGGTCAAAGATCACACCAAAAGTCTGCACCCTCCCCCTTTCCCATACACACAGTCAAAGAAATTTAAGAGCACAGATGGTTAATGACTATCTTGTTGAACATGCATAGCTACAAGCTTCTCGTTCTCCTCCTGTGCCTTCTTTTTCCGAGGAAGATGATGTAACAGAATAGCTAATATAGCAGTCTAGACACTGGACAGCTGCTTGAAAGCTCATGTCATGCAAACATATTAAAATGGGGGTTACAGGATCTTTGCTGAAATCCATCCATTAATTAGTTAGACCAACCACATACACATACTAATTAATTTCAACAAAGACCTTATAAACGCAATAGGATCTTTCTTTTATTTCAGCTTAATGTAGCCTACAAATATGCTATGATAAGTAACGTTCGATTTGATTACACATAAACACTGGTTTAAGTGTTCGAGTTAAATGCACTTTAAAGTACAGGTTGACACGATATTTATTATCAGAACTGAATTATTATTTCGGACAGTTTCATGTTTTAGCGGTACATTTGCTCCAGTTTAAATTGTGTAAGGTTTCTCTCTCATTCTCCAAACTTTCCGTCACGCTCTGTCTCGGTCTCTCTCTCTTCTCTCCGTGAATGTGTTTCCTGTGGTCCGCTCTCTGATTGGTCCGCTGCCTGATTGGTCCGTCTGATTGGTCCGCTGCCTTCCGGGGAGACGGGGATTGGAAGACGGAGCTCGACATCTGGAAGGGAGGAGAGTAGTGATCGACTCAGTTCTGCGAATCGGTTCTTTCAAGCTGTGTATTTCAATGAACAACGATCCGTTGGTTCTGTTACGCCATTCCAGCATGACATGTACAGTATTATGTGCTATAAATAAGCAATAATGGTGGCACAGTCTATAAAGGGCTATGCTTCCAGTATAAACTATAAACATGCGAAGTGTAATGGCCGTAGTATCCCATTTCATCCAATTGCTCATTTTGCAATGTCGTTGAAGAACCCACTTATTTTGAAATGATGTTGATTTCAATGCGTTTTGCTTTGACTTTCCTTAATTTTATTGAGAATTTTTTTTTTTATCTCCAAACATCTGTAGAAGCCTTTTTTGGTGGCTCTTGAAAATAGGTCCCTTTTTATTTGTAGTTTGTAATTATAGTATAGCCTAATTTTGCATTAATGAATGTAGTTTTCAGGAAAGTATTTGAATTATTAGAAAAACTCAAATTTATTACATTATTTTATTATTCTATGGCATAAAAATAATACTTCAGCTCACTTCAGAATTTCATGTTACCCTCAGTTAAAGAGTATAGAAGAACAAATATACAATGTGTAGCCTATATAATATATGTACAAATATACAGGAAGTTGTAAGTCAAGTGCCCCAGATATTGTTGAATTGTTTTTGCAGATATTTTTGTTAACAAAAACAAAGTAATTTTGAATCTAGATAAAATGTACATTTCAATAACAATAATATTAATTATCATCACTATAAATAATTATAAAAAATGTTTTTAATGTTTTAATAAATTGTTTGCTCATTGTTTTCAACTCTACGGTCCAAATGAGAAGGCCCTAAGTTCAAAGAATCATTTGTTGACTCGAGAACCGCCCGGTTCCGTGAACAAGTCGCTCAGAATTGTTTTGTGAACCGGTTTAACTGATTCATTGAAAAGGTCCGACTCAAACGATCGACTCGTTCGCGAATCGGACATCGCTAGAGGAGAGGAGGAGAAGAATATACGAGAGGTAAACCAGAAAAATAGGAGGAGAACAGGAGAGGGTGGTGACATCTGAGGTGAGTGATGTGCTAAGCCAAATTATTTAACCTGGACATAAGAGCAGCTGAATTTATGGTTTGAGAACATTTAATTATTTTCGTTTGCCACTTCTGTTGGTAATAAGTTTGAAAGGCTGGACACATTTGTGGACGCGCTTCGCCCTAACAGCGATAGCAGAAGGCGGATAAACGCCTCGGGCTTCTGACTAACAGTATCTATATCGTTGCTAAAGTAACAACCACGCTGTGGCTTGATATATTGTAATAATTTGACGCGTCTTTGATGTTGTTATATCATGTTCGTGTTAGTTGCGATGGAATGGTGTAAACGGGGGTCGTGCGTGTGGTCACAGCCCTCCTGAATATCGCTTGACTTAACGGGTCACTTTGTGTTTCGCGTTTGTTCCTTCACTTTTACACTGTACTTCAACATAAGGCTGTATATTAGGCTATTAAACAAATGCCATTTGTTCCGTTTATTTCGCCACGATTATTTTTATGCGCCTCGCCTCGCCTCTCCCCCTATCAGGTCCATGGCAGGCTCCAGCCCCCCGTTCAAGGCCAGGCCAATTGAAAAGTCAAAGCAGCGGGAATCCATAGCGTATCATTCGGGGCTGTGGCAAACGCGCTTGTTGGTTTAAGTTAAAGTACCAACTTGTGTGTTTGAAAGAATCATTAGTGTGAGCGCGCCCGTAGGCCCGTGTGAGCGTCGCCTACTCGCTGCTGTAGGTGCGCGCGTCGCAGTGGCGAGACTCCCGTTTTATGACGCCCGTTCTGCGGCAGGCACAGGCAGCTCCAACAGCAGACATGTTCTCTGAAGACCATTTCACATTCCACGCTCCTCTTATAGAAGTACAATAGCCAATTATACTGTACACCAGTCACTGGCATAACATCTTCCACAGTAAGGCCTTTGCGAGCTGTCGTATAATTGTTGAAATGTAGAAAGCCAATGTAGCAATGTTTGTCAGATGAAATGGTTTTGGTGGCTTGTGGCAGTGGGTGTTCAGTTTGTTTATGATATTGCAAATGTATTAAGGTCATTTCCACTGAGTTTGCATCCCTGGGCCTTCTACAGTTATCCACAATAGATGTTGGTTGTGATGTGATTGCTTCATGGGTTTGTCTTACCTCTCATTACTGCACTGTTTATTAGCTAACTGTAGCTTGGGACATACATTTATAAATACTATTAACAATCTAAATATAGAAATGTATAATATCTGGAGGATGTGGTCCAAAATTCGAAGACCACCCGCACCTTTAATCAAAAGGTTCATCAAAAAATGAAAGATTCTGTCTTTATTTAGCCTACTCATCCTCATGTCGTTGGATTGCCTTCATCTTTGGAACACAAAAGATAATATTTTTAATATTCTTTCCGATTTTTTGTCTATTCAATACCTACGTAATTAACATTTTTAAACACTTTATAACCGTAATGAATATAGCAATTTAATACAAGTCCTCTGAAAAGATTAATCATTTTATGTAAATATGTTTTTCATTTACAATTTTATTCATTTAGACATTGATGAACACAGCTCAGACATAATACACAAGAGGGTTTGTTCTTGTGTGTTAAGGTAATGTTATTAATGTGATTAAAAACTTAGCTTGAGCTTGAACCTGAAAACTGTTGATTATACAGACAGACTTTCAATTAATAGAAAAAAATGATAAGAGATTAACAAATGTTTTATGTGTTTGGAATAAAGTGAGGGTGTGATGACATAACTTTCAGTTTTGGGTGAACAAACCCTTTAAAAAAATTTCCTGACAAAAATTATATAGTCAGGCCAGCATAAAAATATAAAAACAAAGAGTGTAAAAGTCATTCAAATTCATATTTTATGAACATAAAAGGGGTTTTCAAACTTATTCTTCTTATTCATAATTTTTTGCTTTAGTAGTAGTACAACACTAAAGCCAGTTGTTTAAATTTGGAAACATGTTTGTCTTTATGTCAGACTTTATATTTTTCACAATAGGAAATACAAATATATAGCTAGCAGCAATTGAATTTTAGGAATTGCATACCTTGCAAGTGATCCTGATTTAGCCTATATGATCAACTATTTATTTGGTATGTTACTGATTGGGTTAGAACTTGATTTTAAAATGTTCAGAATAGCATAATCTTTTAAAGTTTCAGTAGAAGCAAGACAATCTGGCATTTTCACATGATGATCAGTGTCACAAATTTTTATATTTATATTAATTAGTGCCATATTAATAGTGCAGAATCTTTGTTTATTTCCTAGACAAACTTTTAGATCTTTGCTGGTATTGGGACAGGCATTTTGAACCATTGTTTCTGTAAAAACTGTGAGTAGTGAGCACACATTCAGGATGCACAATGCAGTTAATCTCAGTGTAAATAAACCTTTTTCAGTGGCTCTTTCTCTTCTTCTTGATCTCCTAAACTTGACTTTTATCCCTTCACTCCTTGTCTGTTTGTTGTGCAACAGCAGCTCAGTTCTGTCTGCTATAGTGAAAATAGTATACTTGTTAAGGATTCAGATTTCCATGTGCTCTGGCTGGGATAAGGTCTCTGCTTCGGGACTGAGAGTCTTCTGGAATGTTTTGCCTAGGGCTGTTGTGGTCATAAAGTCTTATTTCCAGAGCCTGTGCTCCTCAAAAATGTTTGTATAATGCAATGTTTGTTATAACACTCATCATGGGATATATTTTGGCTCAATGCTATGTCTGCCAGCCTATGCAGTAACAGGGTTTTGTTGGGGTGTAAATGTGCTTGTTAGAGTGATATATTAGGGTATTTGGTGACTACCTCATTGGACGTTCATTAACTAGCATTTTATGGTATTATTATGTGGCATAATATTGTCATATACAGCTAAGACAGAAGAACCCCCAAGGTTTGTCATGGCAGTATGACCCATTTTACAATTTGGATGGAAAACTTAACATTTCATCTCATCTCTTAAATTGAAAAAAATATAATGTGTGAAAAGTGAAATATACATTATTTAGTAAATGCTAGAAATCACTACCTGTCTCACTGTACTGAGTAGACTATAGCAGTGTGCTGCTGACTATTACCAAATCCTGGCATTTTACAGATGAATGATTTCTGTCTTTTCCAGACTTTCAGAAATAAGGCTTGGTGATTTTGAAACAAAAAAGATTAGTCTGTTCCAGTTTCAAAGCTCTATCAACTCCCATTGCAAGTGCATTAAATCTGTAAATGATTTTTGGCCATTTTGCAATCTGAGGGGCAAATGTTTTTTTTTTTTTTTTTCTGTTGGCACAGATGCTGTAGATAAAGCTTAACCCAGAACATTTATCCCTATGATGCAGCAGCTGCTTTCGTTTTCATACGGCTCTGTCTGGAAATTTCTGTTTTTCTAACACAAACATGAAAATACTTTTATTTAGAGACACAAATATGAAAATATACCCTGGCAATATTTTCAACTGCCCCATCTCAATTTCCCTTTCTTTAATAAAAAAAGAAAATGGTTTGCCAGGGAAAAATCTGTTGCATTTGACTTTATTTATAAAACGGTGTTTAATTTAGTATTGGTATCGGCTCTGATACTGCCATTCTTTGCAGGCCATCTACAAATCTGGTATCGGTTGGGTATCTGTCAGACAGGATTATAAAGCACCGTAAACTAGCTTAATGTTATGTACAGATAAATATTTAAGTTCACAAACACTTCTCTTCACTGCCGCTGTCATTCATTCTCCATTCGGCAGTCAAACTGCTTGTCACGTTAGGTTACAAAAGTCAGCGCAGTAAAACGCTCTCCAAGATCATTCAATGTTCCCATTATTTGTAGATAAACACAACTGAAAGAATACGCTGCGTGTTTTAAATAGCGTAAAAAATTAACGAAATGCAATATGTGGTGGCCGGAGTTGATTTTGTGGCCGTGAATTAGTCAATGTGTAGGAAACACTGCATAAGTCAGGGCTCGACTTGTGCTGGGCTCGGCACTGACGGCTTATAGTGTCGAGTTTCTTAACTTTTTGCCGACGTAAGCAGAGCCGTGGAGAGCCGCTTTGCAATGCTTACATTGTTTTAATTTCGTCATTGTAGCTGAAATGACGGGGCGGGGGGTTGTGTCGCCCAGATTTGCTTCCCCCGGTCTGCATTTTCACCAAACATATGTTCTTTTCCCTCACAAAAACAGAATTTCAAAACAAATATGTATAATTCCACGAAATTCCACGTCAACACTAGATACTAGATTCCACGTTAATTTGCCAATTCCGCAATTCTGTCCACGATTCCGTGATCGCGGAAATCATAGGGCCCTAGGTCTATGGTTTTGCATGAAAGTACTTTATCTCGCTGGAGTTTATTACTGTTTCTTTCTAAATCATGTCACTTGCTACACGGTAGCATGGAAAAGACCATTGTTCTTCACGCGTACAGTAATTGAAATATAAAACTGTTAAAAGCAAAGGCTTACGTAACTGTTGCATAGGTATAAAACACTATGCATAAATATATCTTCCCTTTTGTGCATTGAACTTTTCAATGTGAAGAGCTGTGACTTGTTGCTTCATTCTTTAAATATATTTACTTCTATACAATTTGTTTTTCATGAATGTATTTTATAACAATACATAATGCATAATTTTTTTTTACTAAAATGCTTAGATTTCATAAAATTATGGTGCACTCATGATTTTTCTAGAATAACGTTTGCCGCTGAATTATCCATTAACCGAGTTAAAATATATCTTTGTCATAGATTATGAATATTTTTTCTATTTTTTTCATTTGTTGTTGTTTATCTTAATAATAATGTATGTCTCTATTTAGTAAATTAACATAAAAGAGTGATGACATCAGAGCCAGACGGATCGCTCTGGTGATCGAATCTGCGCAGATTTTGCTCATCTTAGACAAGCCTTATGTGTAGCTCAACATACATTACTTACTGCGTTGCTCTGATTGGTTGTTGGTCTATCCATTTGAGTGCAGAGTTTTTTTTTTCCTGGTTCGGTTAAGACGCGCCTCATCATAACCCTATGGAGCAGTA